TGCCAGGGATTTAAATCTTCTAGCAGCAGTATCAAATTCTTGTATTTTTAAGCTTATATAAAATCACTGTCATTAGGCACACCACACCTATTGTGGGTCCATTTGTTGACCTTATTTTTTGTGAGTTCTACCTCCTCTAGATTTTAGGGTTTAACCATAAGATTTAATTATATAATCCTGGAAGACTAATGGTGGAACCCACCCTAATTAGAAATTTCAACAACTTCTTGGCTCTTTTACAATCTCATGAGTGTGGTCTTAAATCCTCAACACTTGGTTAAGTTGATTAAGGATCAACACATTGAGACTCATGATGAGCTCACCATAGGGTTGAGTGGTGCCCTAGGGAGACCCTTTATGACCTAGGGCTTCACCTCTTTTAAAAATCATATACATTTGCACCACACACATCCACACCACAATTCATGCAAACTACCACCACATACACATTCACACTTCCATTCACATTCATCACAACTACCATCCACACACCCTTCCATACCCATCACCCATTTACATTTCACACATATTCATACATATACTCATCACCACATTCATTCACACATGCATAGCTCACACACACCACCTCACATGCGCTACACACAATTCACATACATCACATCACACACCTTACACATAGTTCACACTCATAAAATTAAAACTAAATTAACCATGAACTTGATTATCCCATAATTTAATCCAAGCAAATTAAAAATAAAATTTTAAGAAGCACAAAGCTCCACTAAGTTCAAGCCCCAGTCCACCCACCAAAATTAAAATAAAATTAAATAAAATCTGACACCCCACATGACATTAATCACCCCTTCATGAAATTAAAATAAATTAAACCTAAGATGTAAGATTTTATAATTAACTAAAGACTAAATATGGACCCATGACAAAGACACCTAAAAATATAAATAATAATCATAATAATAATCCTTTCTCATGACAAGGCATGCAAGCAATGGAGCCCTACCCAAGCCGCATGTGAGCCACCTAAGTCATGTACATGTCATCATGTAATTTATGGCTAAAGGAGGTCATCCTTTCAAAACTCCCCCAACTGTGTTTAACCACTCTAATGACTCACTAAACCCATGCTTAGCCCAAACACCCATGATTAGTACATGAGTGCCCAAGCCCCCATGTCATGCACCGAGTCCAACCATTGTGAGGGGTGAGTACATCCCAAATGCATGACTTGGA